GGGCTGAGGTCAAGAAGGTGCAGGAGTTTAAGTATCTGGGGTCAACAGTCCAGTGTGATGTGGAGTGTAGGAAAGAGGTGAAGAGGCGAGTGCAGGCAGGTTGGAGTGGGTGGAGAAAGGTGTCAGGAGTGTTGTGTGACAGAAGAGTGTCAGCAAGAATCAAAGGAAAGGTGTACAAGACAGTAGTGAGACCAGCTATGCTGTATGGGTTAGAGACTGTAGCAGTGAGGAAAAGACAAGAGGCAGAGATGGAGGTAGCAGAGATGAGGATGTTGAGGTTCTGTTTAGGAGGGACCAGGATGGACAGGATTAGGGATGAGCACTTTGAATAATTATCAAATAGTACCCAGCAAATATCAAACAGCATTTTAGAGTGAAATGCCCATCACTAGTGGACACCTTGTCACTTTCTCTCTCTCTGGTTTATACATGGAATCACTGTCAACTAATTGTCTTCTATTCTATTAAAAGAAGAATTAGAAATCTGCAGATAAACCCTGCTGTTCCCTATAGACAGAGTTTGACATCTGACCTAGCCCCATTCCACAGCAAGCTATACTAGGGTACTCTTGGATACTTTTCTTGAGATTTCAAAGCTTGCATTAAAATGTTTTGAGAACACTGTCAAGTATTTCAAACATGCCACTGTTTACCCCCTTTTAAAAAAACCCTCTCTTGACCTCTCTGTTTAAAGGAATTTGACCCATTTCCAAGCTGCCATTTTTAATCAAAGATTTCAGAAAATATTGTCTCCACTCAACTTATTTCTTGTAAGACTAATGACCAAATTTTTGAAAAGTTTCACTAATAGTCACTAATGACCTAACTGAATGCAGCTGACAATGGTCTATACTCAACTTCTCCTTTCTTCAGTTCTGCCTTCAACACAGTGGACCATAATGTCTCAATCAACTGTATGAAAAGCCATGTTGGTGTCAGTGATGTGGCGCTAAATTGGTTAATCTCTTCTTTGTCCAACAGGTCCTTTTCTGTAATACTTGGAGATGCCTCCTCTTCAAGGGTCAAAGTGTTTATTTGTCATATGCACAGTTAGGAAACGTGTTTCCCTGTACAATGAAATTCTTACTTTGTCGTCCACATGAATGCCACAAAAATACAAGTGAAATATAAAGTAGATAAATAAGTAACAAAATCTAAGGCACTTCTTGTGTGCCTTTATTTTGTGGGGTTCCCCAAGGCTCTGTGTTGGGACCGCTCTTGTTCACTATGTATATGCTACCCCTGGGGCAAATCTTGCACAGAGATGACACTGATTTTAATTGCTATGAGGATGACACCCATTTTATGTCTGCTTAAAGCCTGGTACCATGGATACATCCTGTATTATAGTCTGCCTCAATGAAATAAAAAACTAGATGTCCAGAAACTTCATGCAATTAAATGATTCAAAATCCAATGTAATTATAATTACACCGATGGCCACAGTACTGACAGTATTAGTAATCTGCTGGGCTTCAGGATAAATGAGTGACCATTGTATTCTCAGAACTTTGTTTTGAAGTTAATGCTCACCATTCCCTCTGTGTTTCATGTTAATGTTTCTTGTTTTTGTTGCTGCTCTTCTTGTTGGTCTCCACACTGCCAGTTTCTTATCAATCACCAGAGGAAGCCAGGGCTGTAAAATGTGTTTTTATTTCTCACCTCACTTGTTCGCACCTCACACCTATGCTTCCTGGCATCTCAGCTCTACTGTAGCATCTGTAGCACACAGTGTGGGAGTGTGTGTGTCGTATGTGAGGAAAAAAGAGTGTTTCTTTGAGGTTATGTGAAGATTAATGTTGTGTTTTCCATTTGTTGTCTTTGTCATCTGTCACCTATTTTGCAGCTGAGTCTTATTTTCAGGCTGACAACAATTTACTTAGGCAGGTTACAGCCCCCTGGAGGGATGGGTGTAGTTGAAACAGGTAGTTAAGAGGGTGGGGGCTGAGTGGGATTCTTTCCCAATTCACTCAGATGTCAGTGGCTGAGCAGAGGAATGAACGCTCACTACTATGACGACACACAGTGAGTGGACAAGTGTGGGCTGGGAAGTGTTTGGGATTTCTCTCATTTCACTGTCCGTGATAGCCTGCCGAAATATATAGTAAACATGAACACACGCCACACCCTCCAGTATGTGCAACTACTAAAATTAATGTGAAGGAAAAGACAACTAAACTACAGTACATAAGGCATGCTATGAACAATCACATTACATTAGATTTGTGTGAAACAGCATATAGAGAGCTGAAATTGTGTTGTCACATCCGGTTCTCCTCTGTTCCACTAGCTTCAGTGACTTTATGCAAAATCTCATTAGCATCTTTAGAAAACTAAGCACATTCCTCTGTTTGCTTTTTTTCATATTCTAAAACAAGCTACCATCCACTACAACCCTTACTGAAAGTTTCAGACAGCGGCTGATGATCTAGGCATATTAACTCCATTATTTTGTTTGATATTTCTTTATGCTTCTTACTGTCCTTGCAGTAGGGTTGCCGTCTTTGAAATGTCTCTGTTACTGGCAGCTGAGTGACTGTCGCGCGAGTTGCTGAACTCTCCCGCTCTCTCTTAGCGCTTAACTTTGAAAACTGTTCATGTTCCTTTACGTGACTAACCTTTAAATGTCTGATGAGGTTCGTGGTGTTAAAATGCTTTAGGTGCTTCCCGCCTCGTGGAATTTGCTTGTTACACAGGTTGCAGATTGCTAATGTTGGGTCTTTTTCACACACCACGTAGAATTGCCAAACTGGAGAAGCCATTTTACCAGCGCAAAAAACTTGTCTCGCGAGTTTTGCGTCATCTGATCGGCTTTTCTATATCAGCCATTACAGAGACAGCCGATCAAACTTCCCAAAGCAATTATCAGCCAATTATGATCGGCAACCGATCAATCGGAGCACCCCTAGTAATCTCTCCTCTGTTTTGGGTCCCCTATCTGATAATTAAAGAGGTCTTGATGTTTGCCCTTTGATACTCAGGTGACCATAGCGGTCCAATCCTGCTTTGCACAACTGAAACAGCTCACAAAGATCAGGTCATTCCTTTCCCCTGCAAACTTAGAAAAGGTCTTACATGCTTTTATTTCTTCCAGACTAAATTACTGCAATGCACTTTATTCTGGAATTAGCAGGCACAATACTCTGACTTCAGTTGATACAAAACGCTGCTGCCAGACTTTTAACATGCACGAACATATCTGACTACATTTCACCAACTCTTGCTGCCCTTCACTAGTTACTTGTGAGTTCTAGAATTAATTTTAAGATTTTACTACTTGTTTTTAAAGCCTTGAATGGTCTGGCTCCTGCTTATATTTTCAATTTGTTAATTCCTTAGGACTGTAATCACTGCCTAAGATCCTCAGGCCATACATATGTTGATTTGATCCAGTAAAAAAAAACTGTTTTTCAAAACAAGAAAATGGGTTTGACCTCCCCCTTTCAACAGCCTTCCTTACAATAGGCACATTCAAGATAACCCAGAACTGTGCAGAAACGATCACCAGAGACTGACCCACAATTCATGCCAGGTAGTTTTCTGTCCAATTTGCTCTGACGTCACATCTACACAAGCAATGATATTCTCAGAGGACCGAGGCAGCTGCAGTTTTTGGAGAGACTCTCACCTGATCAGCTTAGATGTTGGATCAACAACATAATGTTTTATAGAAATGTATCATTTCTTGTATAATTGCAGAGACTGTGATTGTATTAGTGGGTATTTGCATTATGAATGTTTATGAATGTTTAAAGTAAATGTGTGACTATGAGTCAGAGAAGCTGACAGTTCTCATAGAGTGCAGACAGCCTGTGATAGCTCTGCTCTACAATGTGAACAATATTAATTCATTCTTGAAGTATTAAGGGACACAAAAGCCTCTGGGAAGCTGCTGTGAAGAGTCTTAAAATGGCATCTGTACAGAAGTGAAGCAGTGGCAGGCTAAATATCTGGCAGATCAAAAATGGCTACAAATTTATTTATGCAGTTTCATAACAAATCAAACCTGGTCAGCTCAAAAACAGCAGCAAACTGATATGATGGTGCATTATATGAGAAATGTAGTCCACACACATTTCCAAGCGCAATATTTGAGTAGTAGTATGGAGGTCACATAGACCAGCATGCTATCACTCTCTTGTCACACAGAAGAACGTTATTAAAACAACAGTTTGGACCCTGAGTACAAGCTGAAAAGTTAGGTTTGATCACATTAATTCAATTGGGATCAGGCCCAACAGCACGTGAGTGCTTCCGTGACTTCCTGAACAGGCTGAAGGCTGGTGGAAAGCTCCTAAACAGCCCTCTTGACTGCGGACTGTCACCGCCCCCCGTTCTTGTCCGCTACCAGGCGAAGCGCCCGCGCATCTCGAACGAGCCGAATGGCTTCGTCAGACATGCGCAGCTTGGCCTCCTTCGATCCTTTAATGAGCTAATGGCGGGTTCATTATTAAACGTGTTTTTCGATCATAATTTAAGAGAAGCCGCTGTGAACCTCCACATCTCATGGTATACAGACGCTGGGAAAACAACACACTGCCGCGGCAGCACACCCTCAGTTGTCCCTCACGTCTTCCACTGCATCACAGTAGAATAAGTAGTTTCTCTCACCGTGTCCACGTCCATCAGGTTGACCTGGGACGAAACAGAGACCAGGCTGCGAGCGTCCGGAGACTCCGACATCGCTGGCTTTACATGGACTGTACAATATTCTGATAGCCCTGTGCAGTTCCTCAAACAGGAACTACATTTATTACAACTTCCGAATGATTTTTTCAGAATAAAGGTTTAGTTTGAGAGCCCATTTATTTCGAAACACTGTTCATTACAGCTCTAACAGTTAGAATGATTGATTTACAAAAATCTCAAGGCATGCACTCAAATTCAGCAGAAATAAGTACACCCTCATTAAATCCTAACAGGTTTTCTTACCAGTAAGACATATTTTGGTTTCTTATTATTTGTAATATTTGTTTGATTGGTTGATTAATAGTTATTTATGTATTTGTTTGTTTTTTTGAATGTTTGCATGGGTTTATTTATTTATTATTATTTATTTATTTCCGTTTGCTATTTATTTATCTGTTTGTTTGTTTAATGTTTGTTTTCATTTATTTATTTAATTGGTGTTTATTTGTTTATTTGTCTAGGTAATGTTATTAATTGGTGTTTATTTGTCTAGGTAATGTTAATGTGAATGAGATTTATTTCATGAACAAATGGATCCATTTCCATACAGGCCTATGATAAAAGTGACAAGACAAATTCCTGAACTTGGCATTTGCTAAATTTAAATCTAATTATTGAATATAGCCTATATAGTTAATATGTTTATCATGTGAAATTTAAGGATGTTGATGTCTGCAGAAGTAAGTGACAACACTTGCACTGTTTTTGTAGATATCATTGAAAAGAAAGGAACATGTATATAGTACTATATATTGCCTTTATCAGTGACCTCATTGAAAGCAACTCTGTAAACATCAACCCTTTTTAATCACCTGAACAGCTGCAATAATGACTAATATTCATCAAACCTCTATCAACAATATGAGCAGCAGTCTTCATTAACACAATCAGTAACAATGGCTATCACAACCTACAGCATAACTGTACAAAATGCATTGTTTTCTGATTAGAGTGACTGTTGGCAGAACAGATGAGGCACCAGGAATAATCAAGCCTGGCTGTTAGCCTGGTCTGGAGCAGGCTAGCTGCACAGAAAAACTCTCCATGGTACACCACTCAGCGGTGTCTAAAATAGTGACATGATATTTTGACTGTCACACACAATCCTCCCTGCAAGGTTGTGGAGGCCACATTTACGGGTGCTTTAGAATGTAACTTCCATAATCAGAAAATGATGTTTTATTTCTGTAGTTCAGTGCTTTGGTTTGTGTCACTCCCTCTCCTCATTCACACACTCGCTTGCTTGACCACCACTGCTTGCTTTCTGTGTTAGTGGAGTAGATTCAGTGCATAGGCAATGAAATTTGGCCACAAAGATAAAAAGAATGGCTCTTAGGTACACTAGCATGGGGATCAGGGTGCTACAAGGGCTGCAGCCCTCCCTAGTGGTGGCTGCAATTGATAGCATCTTGTAATCAGCAACATAAAATTAAAAAGAACAGTCTGTTAAGAACAGACAAATTTTTAAAAAACACAATTTGTTTAGCTCTGGATATAATGGTTTAAAATGGGGGGATATGGTTGTAGAAAAACAGTTTTAAATAGTATATTTAGAAAAAGATTTTTTGAGAAAACCCATGCCCCTCAGGAAGCTTTTGACAATCCAGACTTAGCAAGCAACAACTGTAGACCAAGCAACAAAAAACAACAAATATAACATTTTATTTTTAGAATGAACTAGTGTGCTCTGAAAAGATTGTATTGCAAAAATTAGGCTTTGCCATTCTATAACATACAGGACACATACTGTTCAAAAACACAACTGAAAGTGAATAAACCACACTGTCCAGTGTGGCTCCGTCTGAAGAGAGTGTATGGCAAATAAAACATAACTATTACCACAGTGAAGCAGGCACTGAGTGACTGAGAGACAGACACCCAGGGAAAAATCAAGTTAGTGGAGACTAAAACTAGGGATATCCTAACCTCTGTTTCTGGCCCCAATACAGATCGATATTAAGTATTGACCGATGCAAATTCCAGTCCAATACTTATAATTATCTACAGTTCATTAAATGTCTGACATACGAAATTTATCTGGCGCACTATATTTTTAAGGAGCTTCTTGATCCAAATACTGGATCATGTCCTGGTTCCAAAATGTTGAGCTTATTAGCTTAAATTTTTGATGTGAAGGAAAGAATGGCTGGACAACAAACTCAGAGCTACAGATTCACTGCACGGCAAATACTAACTACTACTTCAAGTCTGCATATGAACACATATTTTAACAATTTAATAATGCTGCATTAACAAAAGGTAGCTGTCGTAGCACCACTGGACACAAGCATAAAACCTACTGTGTCTCAGTGGTGTAGGCATAAATTGTATATTAAGTGGGCCGATACAAAAGTGGATGGGCTATTTTTTTCCCATAAAAACTGCATGTTAAACCAGCAGGGCATAGCCTATTAAGGCTGCACACAACAATGTAAACAAATGCCTGTCTTCTATAACCCATGCAGCCTAAAATTTATTTGCAACAACAACAGATGAATTTTATGTTTCTTATGTTATTATAACATGGTGCTTAACAGAAGATCATCTGAAACTCAAAATCAGGACTTGTGTGACAACCTACAGCTCATGCACTGACCACATAATGAACCCTTTTATATTACACAGTACATATTAAACATAAACAGCTAAGCATGTCAGTTAACACAGAAATGTCTCTCGTGCACTACTGCCCTCGTTGCTCCAGTAAGGCCAGCTCACAGAAAAGCACTAATGCACAAACAGCTGTTAACACAAATCAGCAGTAAAAGAAAATCCAAGAAGCAAAAGAAAACATCCAGTAAAGCACTGTTTGAATTTCTGTTACATTATCTATAGAATTTGTGTATCATTTGTATAGAAAAAAAAAACTCATTTGAAAAAATTAGTTTTTTTTCATGTTTTGATTTTTGGCTTATTTTGAAAACAAATGAATGAATGATACACAGATGATGCACTGGTTCAAGCTTCTCAGTTATGAAGATTTTCTGCTTAAATGTCTCTTTGGGAGAGTTGTTGGTAGTATTAAAAGATAAAATAATAACAGGCATGAAATTAGCGAGTAAGCTGCTATCCTAACTAATGGGAATGTAGACCAAAACGACAAAAATAAGACTGTGTGGGGGGGGAAAAATCTGGAATTTTCTCACCAACCATTTAATGATGATTGGTGAGAAATTTTGTTTACAGGCTACACAAATTGCCAAAAAACAAATGAATGAATGATACACAGATGATCCACTGGTTCAAGCTTCTCAGTTATGAAGATTTTCTAACATACATTTTAACATTTAGTTTTCATCATTTCAACACAAAATATGAAATGTTGAGTTACCAAATGACCATCACGACAGGGTATAATGGACGTTGTGTTTACTTGTGCATATTACTATGGGCCTAATTTGTGAATCTATTAGTTGAAAAATAAGAAAGGAATGGGAAAGGAAAGGAGACGAGGACGCTGATATAAAGTGTTGGGACACCACCTGCTGTGTTCTTCCGACTCCGTTCACCTCCATTCACACAGTAAATAAAAGCATGGAGGCTCTGACTCTTGGGATCTAACACTGAACTGCGGGGGGTAAAGACACTGCCGCTTGGGCTCTTCCGTTCACCAAAAGACGCAAGAAGGAAGCAGGAGCGCAGCAAACGCTCTACCAGTTGGATTAAACAAATTTTACGTGAAAGTAGGGATTTAAGTTGGCGACAGGAGCGGGGCAGCCCGCCGTGCTGAGCATGAAGCGGACGGCTGTAGTGGCCAGGCACAATGGCCTCGTCTCTCCGCTTGGGAACAACAACTCCGGGGCTTCTAGCATCGTCTCGCCACCCTTGTCCAGAGCCCCTAACATCTCCGCTTCTGCCGACAATGGTTCTGGCAGTGGGATGGACGGCCTGCTGGATTTCTCGAAAGGCCCCACTGTCAAAACGGAGCTGGTCTGCAAATGGATTGACCGAACTTCATCGAGACAGAGGCTTGGGAGGACGGCAACGTCAGTCTGCGACCAAACTTTCAGCTCCATGCAAGAGCTTGTTGACCACGTCACCACCGAGCATGTAGCAGCGGGGCTTGAGACCCTCAGTCATGTCTGCATGTGGGACGAGTGTATGCGTGGCGGGAAGGCGTTCAAAGCCAAATACAAACTCATCAACCACATTCGCGTGCACACCGGGGAAAAGCCGTTTTCATGCGCATTTCCCAACTGCGGCAAGATGTTCGCACGCTCCGAGAATCTCAAGATACACACGCGCACGCACACTGGTAGGGTTTCATGATTGTATGACTACACAGCGTTGCTATCCAGTCATTATAGTCTTTAAACCCGAACCATCCGTCAACACAGGACCCTCCTGACAGAGACGGACAATAAAGAGGTTAAAAGAGATTTTCCCTGTCTACTAGGAATCCCCTCCGTATTTACGCAGGCTGAGTTCAATACCAATTCACATCCACCCTTCATTGTTTCCTTGTTTCCTAGAGGAATCATGGCTCTAAACCCAGCTCAGGAAACATGCAAGGTGTCAGGAAGCAGCACAAAGCAGCTTGATTAGGAAAAGGATGAGTAGGCTACCCAGCGCCACTTTCTACTTACTCTCTATAAATCAGTAATTATTGGTTAATTAAAAGTTAATAAACCATTCAATGCTGCTTTATATATCAGTTAAAAGTCATCAATAAGAGCAACTCTTGGGTTGCCAGGTAGGCTAAAAGTCCTTTGGCCTGGTGTTTTTTTCTTTTTTTAAAGTATTTACAGGGGCATTTTATGGTTTTATTAGCACGGTATTCAGCATATGTTCCTGAACTGGGATGATACCAAAACAACCCACAAAAATTCATTAATTTACAATTTGGTATTTTAAGAAACCAGCTAACAAATCAAATTGCAGATGATTTACTCACTTTGGCTCACTATTAGAAAGCAAGAAATATGATGAACTAAAACTAAGTGTAATGATGAAGGACATTTATCAGCCATGGAGGTTCTCCACAACTTGGCAACTCAAACAATGGTCTTGTTAGTGGCCTAAAATAGATTAACAAGGGAATAATAAATGATTAATTTATATAGTTGATACTTAAAATGAATAAGCCCTTTATACAGGCTGCCTTAATTAGAAAGTGGTACCATTTACTCTCATATAAATATAAATAGGGTGGACAAATATTAAACACGTCACAGTATAATACAATAAATTTCAACAGGACCTTCAGGCTGCAGCCTTGACCATGTCCATAAAGTTTAATCAGTGCCTCTCTGAAAGAGTTTGAACAAAAACAGAATGTCAGAATCATCAAGGAAGTAGGGTTTACTGCAAGGATGTGAATAAAACTGCATTGGTTTTAACTAGGTGGACCTAATAAACTGCCAGTGGAGTTTTAAAATGTATTTTAGCTTGATTGGATTTATATGAGATCATGAAAGAATGCATTCTTACAGTAGCTAAAAGGGAAATTGGTGTTTTGTTAATATTCTTATATGCTTCTAAATACAAAAACACAAAACAACACCTGCGATACATACACAGCGGCCACAAGAACTAATCCAACATTGGTTCAGGACATAGTACATAACATAGGAGAACTTCACACACCCAAATAATGTCATGTGTAAGAATAAATGAAAATGTACTTGGGACTACAGAAACACTCGTTCACAATGACCGCAAATAACCACTTGAAGGGATAGAAAGAACAATAAATATAATCATAAAGCAGAAAATTTTAGATGTATGTACCAGATAGCTCAGAATTAAACCCTCAAATCTTACTTATAAGTTTGCAAATTTTTGTTGTTATAAACTGTCAGTCCTCAATGCAATATTTGTGAGCAATATCCAAGTCTAAACGAAATCGCTTATGCTACATTTAAACCTGTAGGTTACATATCTCTTTATTAGGGATGCACCAATACTGATACCAGTATTGGGTCCAATACCACCCTCTAGTACTTGTACACATAAAAAGGTTGTCCAATACTATGCACAATACCATTTAATGACAACACTGTGTTAACCTCATGCTGTTTCAGCAGGTCATTAGGTGGTTCAGGGATATTTTAAGCTAAGTGATGACAAAAGAACAACTGACTGGGAGCTCTGCTTTGTGTGAGACAGACACACACTGGAGAAGAGACGAGGTTGTTTTTTACAGAGATGTCAACGCTGCATATGCAACAAAATCCAACAGTAATGTTAATGGGGAAAATAATTAATCAAAAGCCTGTTTAACAAGCAGAACACAAAACACAACAAACTTGTAGAAATACGACGTCTTCACTTTCCCTGTGGTCCTGTTCATCCACTAAACCACACAGTGCTCATTACTGTAGTGAATCGTTGTGTATGAGAATAAAACAAAAACTAATTTTATGTAGTTAACGGCTAAATCTAATGAACTCTGTATATGGAAATAAGACTGAGCACCTCCTCTAGAGCAGTGCAGCAGGGTGTCCAACAGGATGATGCTACAAACATTAGCCACTTTAAAGTAAGAGCATGCACCCTTGTTACGATTTAAATTGTATAAGACCATTTACCAAATTGCTGACTGTTGTATGCCGCGCTCTTAAATTTTGACATTCTGGGCAGGAGTTTTACAATTATTTCATTCTAATAGAGGGGCACACCCCTAAAAACGTTAAAAACCATTGTATTACAGTATGTTGTGTAGGCCACAGTTGCATGTTATATTTGATTAGAATGGTGGCAGTGCTGTGTGTGCTTTCACAAAAAGGTTGAATTTGCACAGTCTCCTGTTATATATTTTATTTAAGCACAACCAGAAAGTAAACCTCATGAAAAATGAAAATATCTCTAAAGTCATTGCACTTATAGGGTAATTGCAATCTTTATAAAAGAAACATTGTATTAAGTACTTGTATCGGTACTCGTACTTGGTCTGAAAAAAAAAAGTGGTATCAGCCATCCCTTATATCCATTTATGGCATCCCTCAGGTGCAGATCATAAGTGATCAATCCATTTGAGCAATATTTTTCCAGGCACTGATCCCTTTAACACCAGGACCAGGGAAACCCAGAAACAAACACTGAGATTCTTTGTCAAGTTAACTTTGTCAGCATTTTACCCAAGTACTCCAATATGGATCCATGTCCATGTACAACCCATCAACTTTCCACCTTTAGTTGGCATTCTCAGCAACATTCCTAAGGTCTAATGTCTAAAATGGGGGGTCATCTGTGAACTGTGCAATATCTATAAATGAGGCACTGCTTTTCCGTTACATATAGACATCTGCTTCTTAAATTGCCATACTTTCATCAGTCAGGTCACAGCAATGATATTCTGAAAAGAAATCTTTTTATATCACTTTTAAAACAATTTTTTATAGTATGCAGCTCATTGTCTTTGCTCATTACTGAAAACGTTATTGATATTCTTTATATTTGAGATGTCCAAAGGAGGAATCGGTACCAGCGCCAATCCAGGCATTTTTCACAGGACTGGTATTGGCCAGAATTAAGCCGATCTATTTCTGATCATTATTTAGAACTACAGTCCTGTATTTGAGTGGACTCACTTGCTTTTTGAGACACACATCACGCAACTGATAAGCTGCAGTATTAATCAGTCCAGCTGCCTGTGTGTGGCTGGACATATTACTCATAGCTGTGACCTGAAACCTGTTTTTAGCTTCAGGTCTATTTTGTAGAACTACGTGCATACAACGCACCACAAAAGCCACCAAAACAAAGCTCACTAGTTCCAACCAGAACGGCACCAAAATTTTGTAATGCATCAAGCAAAAGCACTTTAAACACATGAGCTGTCATCTGTTACACAGACACGAGCGTGAGCCTCCCAGTTGTGCATGCTAGATGTTATATGCTGCACACACTGTGCTTTCAGTATAGACACGCTGGTCAGACAGGGATGTCTAAACTGGACTGGATACACAAACTGTGTGTTCACATACAGATAAAAAGTAGTAGTTAGTAGCTGCCCTGTAATGAATCTGTAGCTCTGAGAGTGTGTTGTCCAGCTCCTAGTTAGTCTTTTATTTGTATAAATAATAATAATAATAATAAACTTAATATTTTGGAACCAGGGCCTGATCCAGTATTTGGATCAAGAAGCTCAGTGTGTCAGATTAATTTCAACTTCAGTGTGTCAGATATTTAATGAACATTTAATGTAGGTAAATATAAATATCAGATTGGAATCGGTATTGGCAGATACGTAATATTAAACAAATCAGATCTGTATCAGGGCCAAAAAAACAGGATCAGGACATCCCTAATTTATGTATTTGTTATGCTGTTCATTTTGTGAAGATAGAACCCCTGTTTTTGTTCTCAATCTTCAAAATTGCATAATTATTTCCTGAACACAGCCTCACATATATTAATAAGAATTCCTTGAGGCCGCACACTGTGGGTCAAATTGCACTTGGTGACATTTAAAGAAGGAATAGATGTGAAGGTTTAAATATGGGTGAGAGGTGGAGGAATATTTGACACACTAAAGTATCTCTTCAACTGTACCAGTACTCAGGAAGCCCATTTTAGACTTTGATAATTGTGAATGTGATGTTTGTGTTGCAGGTGAGAAGCCATTCCAGTGTGAGTTTTGCGAGCGACGCTTTGCCAACAGCAGTGACCGGAAGAAGCATTCACAGGTCCACACAGCCTCAAAGCCCTATGATTGCAAGGCCCTGGGCTGCACCAAGTCCTACACCCACCCCAGCTCCCTGCGCAAACATATGAAGGTTCACGTCAAGTCGTCACCTACCTCTGAACCTCATGACTTATACGACTCTATCCCTCATCAACTCCAGCAACCTCATCAGGATCTCCTGGAGCCCCTCGACCTTAAAATAAATCACCTGTCTCCATCACTTGTCAACAGAAATGCTCATTTTCCCCTTCTGTCTAATCATGAATTGAATATCAGCTCAGCCAGTGAAGTGGACCTGCTGCTGCGGAGTTCGTCTCCAGTGGCAATGCCTCTGGATCTCTCACTGTCAGGCCTAAAGAGTCAGCTGGCTCAGAAGCAGCAGGGTGGACGGACCCCAAGGAGAAGCCAGCGCTCAGTCAACCCAGCCCTACCTCAGTTGTCTAACATAAAAGAGTGGTATGTCTGTACTAGGACTACAGCACCAAACTTTTCTCTGCTTCACCCAGACTACATCAAATCAGAACCTAGCGATGATGAGGAGTATGTCACATAGAATGAAGGGACTGGTGAAACATAGTGTGAAACACAGACTGCACATACTGTAAGAACCATTTCAGGCCAGAGTATGCTCTCTGGACTCATACTTGCTATAATGTTTGAGAACCAGCAGTTGTATGGTTCAACATCAGTGGCTGTTCTAAGCTGGAGAAGGTCTTTGTTAGATTAATGGCTTTTTTACTCTGTCACAAATACAAATACAGCCTGGAGATGATCACTATTTGTGGACCAAAAGCAGTGGCTCAAATGATGCCAGATGGGAGGAATTCCATCATTATTGTTATCAAACAAAATGCTTGACAAGAAAACTACAAGTTATCTAATCAGGGTTGGCTAGCTAACCTGAACTAACACAGGGGTAACTTTGTATAAATGGACCAGACAATGTTGCTTACCGCTCTGTTTACTGTTAAAGAATATGAAAAAGGCATGAGTACATAATGACTTTTCTAGAGAGACAGATAAATGGCCAATTATCTAAGAGCTCCACTGAGATTAAGCAATTTCAAGGGCTAAATTGACACTGATGGAAAGTGGTTAATATTAACCTCAGCTCACGGTAGCACTGTACACGTAATAAAACAGCAGGTGAATGTGTGCCTGTAAGGTCTGTGTTTGGTTTAAGAAAACCAGTTTGTACAATGTCAGAAAGTTACAAATATTGTGTGAAGCAGCTGATTTGTCTGTCAGAAAGAGGGTTTCAGAGGCTGTCAGGTGATCTGACCTTGTTTGAAGCAATGGTTTTTACTAACATACTCTTGGTAGTAATTTGTTCAAAAGTGTTTCATGTGATTACATTTTAATCAACACAGCAGCCGGCACTGAAGCTGTACTTTGTGAAGGCGGTGGAACTGCTCCTTCTTTGTACTGATCATCAAGTGTCTCCTTAACCTGTTCATCTCAATGGACCTTGCAGTGGGTTAATCACCTGCATCTGTTTACACTCCATTTACAATTTAGTCAAGACCCCAAAGTTTTCAAAATGGCCATATATGTCATACACATATTCCTTTAACATGAAAATGTGTATTAAATGATTCATAATATATCTAGTATTTTTCTTTGATCAAATGGTGCAGCCACAAAAATATACATTTTGTATCTAAATAATGAATCAGTGTAAGAAGTGGAATGTATTGTGTAAGACTGATACAAGGGGAAGATATTTTATCTCTGTGTGAAGAGAACACTTAAATGGTTAAAGGATAAGTCTGATCATTTTTATATTAACAGTAGATTCAGCACTCCCCATACAGCGACTACACCAACAATGAACTGCCTCCACTCACGGTTAATGTCTGTCAGCGTGTCTGTTCTGGATTAGCTTCTTCGTCTGTGCCATAGACCTCCGCTGTTGTTCAAAAATGCTAAAAAAAAAAACAAAAAAAAAAACACATCAGTGAAACACACTACCGTACTGGGTGACTTTTTCTTTGTTACAAAAACAAGACCCTAATAATAACCTAATATTTGTTAAAAATATCTGGTGCTCTCACGCAGGCGCAGTTGCCTTTTGCTTACTTCAGACGCTGTAAAAGGTTACAGTGGTTTGGAGCCTCTGGACAACATTTTTAAAAAATATCAGGATCTTGTGTTTTGTAATGAGGAAACATCACCTAGTGCAGTGGCATGTTTCCCTGGTGTGCTGTTAATCTTTTTTGAACAATGTAGAGTAGTTGAGGCAATTCACTGTTGGTTTTAGTCCCTGTATGGGAATAGCTGAAAATACTGTTAATATAGGAAATGACCGGCCTTATCCTTTAAGTGGCTTGTACATTATCCATTCAAATATAAATAATTTCAAACTGGATATAATCCTGGGATGTAAGTAAACCAAACTGAAGCAGATTGTTTAAATTGTTAAATTAGATTGTTTAAGGTTATTTTAAACAGCTATTACAGTGTATAATGATTCAGGTCTCAACAGGTAAAACAGAAAGTGAGCAGAGCTGAAATGTCACTTATACTCTGTCATTGCACAGGAAAACTGTGTGCCAATTACAGTAAGTAGGTCAAATTTGATCAGTAGGTCAAATTTGACCTACTGATAACCGAATGGTTATGGTGTGCTGCACAGGGCATGTGCAATGTCGACGGTTTGAGTCCCACCACTGACATTTGTCACAGGTCTCCCCTTCTCTCTTTCTCCCTTGTTTCCTGTCTGTATCTCTGTGACTCACTTTTATATATAAGCAAATAGTGTCTTCAAAATAGACTGTGACCAGGCTTGAACCTGGAACCTTCTTGCTGTGATGTTGCAGCACTAATGACCATGTTACCATGCTGCCCAGTACATACATCTGTAAGTTAATATAAAAACAACTATCCCATACAGATAGATACAGTAGCAGATGCTTCAGCTACATCCAAACGTCCACTTTAGTGTTCAGTTTGAGCACAGACAGGACAGAAATTGATCATCTGCATCATCTGTTTGTGTTTTATACCAACAGCTGCTAACATGCATTAGGTCTCAAACCCCAGAGCAGAGCGGAGTTGAGATCAGGGTGCAGAGTCTTATCAATGGGATCTTTAGGTCCACTACAAGTTAGCTACAGTCAGCTAAAGTTATCCATTCTGAAATACCACAGTCAGTAAAGTGAGATCTAAATGATTTAAGCAACTTTTTTAGCCAAGTAAAACAAGAATGTATGCAGGTAAATATAGCACCTCCCACCTCGGTCCCAGCATTAAACACAATATGACGTATCTTCACATTCTCTATAATAGGGTTGATGGCAGGGTGGGCAGGGGACTGCTGCGGGGCCCAGAATTATATTCTTTAATGGGGAATAAAATCTCTTGTGGCACACCTGCGAGTAACAGTGATGTAAAATACATGAGAAACAGACTGAAAGAGAGATGGCAAAAGCAGTAGGGATAAAGACACCTGGGTGATAACTTTATCAAACTAAATAGTAGGGGTGATGAAAAAAAGTAGTACAGAGGAAGTAAAATCTAGTCTCAACTTTGGTTATATGGCAGTACAATATTTAAATGGGAAAACATAGCCTTATACAGTAACAATTTTTGTGATCAAGAAGGACATTTAAATCGCTCAGTAAGATGCACTGATGCTGCACATATTCAGAGAGAAGGGATTTGCCATAAATGATTTATTATTTATTTCAGATAATGTGATTGGCAGGATATAAACAATTTGTCTTGTAATTTTTATTATTTAATGATTTGTATTTTTTTGTATTTATCAAAGGTTTTAATAAAGACAAAATTTTAAGACACAGGCTATGTAATCTACTGTAATCCCAATATAGTCCAGTTGGTGGCAGTAGGGCATTATTCTTTTCATGAAGAAGAAGATTCCCTACGTCATCAAAGAGAGACACAAGAGGAGTGCTCATTGTAGAAAAAATGTCCAGGGAAGGAATGTATTTAATGCCATTATACCAAGCGGTGATATTTTAGAGAAACGCCAGGGTGTGTATATTGGTATATGTATCAGGTTTACCTTGACACTTCTTTGTGAGTAGGGCCTCATTTATTCGAGAATTTGCATTTGTAAAAGTTAGAGATACGTCTTCCTAACACCTGTTTTCAGGTAAACTAAAAGTAGTAGTTAGTCGTGGACTGCACTAATTCGTTGTTTGCCGACCGCTAACAAACCTCAGAAGAAAGAAAGAGGAAAGCCATCTTCCCAATGTGCCAGGTGGATGAGGACTACCACGGTGACCTGGAGCGCGCGGAGGTCCCGAAGTAAGTAATCACATTACAGCCAGGGGTGTAGTTTTATTTGATGAACGCGCACGGTTAAGTTGCGACTTGTTTAGAGAGCCACCTTTCCTGTGGTGGCAGCTGTAATTGCCTATATGTGAGGAAGAATGATCCAAATTTGCTCCTTAACATTGTGCAGGTCTGATCTACAGCTACAGGAAGCTCTTTTTGAGGTTACTGCTGCCAGAAGTGGTTCAACCACTTATTAATTCTAAAGGTTCACTTACTTTTTCCACCAGCACTTTGGATGTCTAATGACTGCTGTAGTGGCTTCCTGCAGTTTGTAATGGTTGTCTTTTATTTTCACATTCTTTCTAATAACCACATCTCAAGAACGGACAGGTCTGTCGGACTGTCTTTACATGTTGGACTGGAACGCAACTAAACGATAAAAACACAGTTGTTCCGCTGTCCCCTGGTTTATTAATAACAGACTACGGAACAACATCTTTCTTCCTGTTTCTATCACAGCAGTAAGAAAAAAAGTCACTTTCGGCTTTTCCTGTTTAGGGGTCGCCACAGTGAATTGTCACACTGACGACTCGCATGTTGACATTTGGCACGTGTTTTACGCCAGATGCCTTTCCTGATTCGAACCCGGGCCGCAGCGGCGAGAGCGCTGCTCCTTAACCACTAGCCTACCAGGGACGGCTGTTTCTATCACAGCAGTATGGAAGCTGAATAGGCAAACTACAAAAATAAAAGTATTAACCCTTCTCTGTTAACAGTCAGTATTATTTCTCAACTCAATTAATACTTAATACTCAACAGTATTACATGAAAATAAACAATTTCCAACATATTTACGCTCAATATTAAAAGAAAAAAGTTGCTTATATTTCAGCCCTTACTTCTTTAGGCATGCGCTGGTGATGTCCAATTGATACCATGACACCTGTATCGAACCACTAAATCATTTGTATCAGTATTGGTTCGTTCATTCAAAGATTCAAAATAAAACTAAATATTTCAGAAGTGAAAATTCTGAAGAGAAGCATGAATGAAATAAAGCTAAATATTTCAAAAGTATGAAATTTACAAAAGTTCTGAATAGAAGCATGAATGTCCTTGAGGAGCTGAACATTTTAATAGCTGAAATAACTGCAAGTATGCTGAAGTAGAATTTTCCCATTCATTTGAATGGAACAAGATTTTCAAAATAAAGCTAAATATTTCAAAAGTATGAAGTTTACAAAAGTTCTGAAAAGAACCATGAATGTCCTTGAGGAACTCAACATTTTAATACCTGAAATAGCTGAAAACATGCTGAAGTAGAATTTTCCCATTCATTTGAATGGGGCAAGATTTTCAAAATAAAACTAAATATTTTAAAAGTATAAAGTTTAGAAAACTTCTGCAGAGAAACATGAATGTTCTTGAAGAGCTGAACATTTTAATAGCTGAAAGTGGAATTTCCCCATTCATTTGAATGGGGCAAGATTTTCAAAATAAAGCTAAATATTTGAAATGTATGAAGATTAGAAAATTTCTGAAAAGAAGCATGAATGTCCTTGAAGAGCTGAACATTTTGATAGCTGAAATTATGCTGAAGTAGAATTTTCCCATTCATTTCAATTAAAATTTTCAAGATAAAGCCAAATTTTATGAAAGTATGAACTTTATAAAAACTGGGAATAAAAGCATGAATGTCCTTGAAAATCTCAACATTTGATAGCTGAAAAAGATGAAAGTATGCTGAAGTAGAATTTTTCCATTCATTTGAATGGGGCAAGATTTTCAAAATAAAGCTAAATATTTCAAAAGTATGAAGTTTAGAAAATTCTGAATAAAAGCATGAATGTCTTTGAACAGCTGAACATTTTGATACCTGAATGGCTTTGCTAGCTGAAAGTATGCTGAACTTATTAAAGATGTGAAACTAGTCCAATAGGACCCCACAAAGTAGGTAAAACAAGTAGGTGTGAACGTGTGTGTGGGCGGGGGAGGGGGGAGAGACAGAGAGGGAAAGGGGGAGAGAGACGGGAGAGATTGAGCTGCATTTTATGGACCACCAGATGGCATTCTAAGACTGTCGTTGACTCAGCACTTTGAGCTCCCATTGAGTTGTATTGCAAAAAATAAAGCTGAATAGATTAAAAATTATAAATATTATAACAAAGAAAAATATAAGCAGGGATGTCCTTGAAAAGTTGAACAGATAGAGACCCCAATGGCCTGTATAGCTGAAAGTATGCTGGACTTATAAAGTGCCAAAAAAGGGTGGAAGATCCCAGAATAATAAATAAAGAACAGGAGAGCATAGTGTGGATGCTTTACAGCATCCACACAGTTATGGGGCATGCCCCAGTAATGGGTAATAAAGACATGACAGGTTTGGCGCAATGAACGGAGAAAATTAGAAATGGGTCATTAATACAATTAAATTAAAACGACAACAGTTCGGTGCCCGGAGGACAAAAGTGGAACCATAGTGCAACAATAACGGTTTACTGTTGACATGTTAACTGCAGCTCAACAATATAAGGAAACTTTCACACAGAAGGCCAATAGTGTACATAGTAGGTATAATAACGTAAATGGATAAATGTGTTACATGGACCACAAAAAAAACTGGCGATTCAGCGCAAGCAGACAAAAAAAATGACAGGCAGTAGCCTTATCAACCAAAAAGCCAGCCGAAAAGAAAATATGATGATCCATCTTGCGCTTGGATTCACTGTGTGTCTTGTATCTTAAACTGTTGGCAGCAGACAGCATGAGACCCATGATAATAGCCTCAACTTCACAAAACAACATTTGGAGGCATTAATCATCAGGGGTTTGATGTTTCAGAATCTGCTTGAGGATATCCATGTGGATAATCACCTTTATCGGCCAAGTATGTTACACACAAGGAATTTGTTTCCAGTACAGAACCGATGGCAGCCATCTGCGGTGCCAACTCAACCGATGGCTCTAACCATCGGGGGAAACTGGGGGGGGGTTCAGTGTTTTGCCCAAGGACACTTTGACATGTGGACTGCAGGCACCCAAGATTCGAACCTTCAACCATCCGGTTGGGAGACGACTGCTCTACCCACCGCACTGTCGCTTCCCCTTTTGCAGAAGTGTATCTAAAATCTTAGACTGATTCCAGCCTTTCTGGGAAATTTAGCAAAATATTTTATTATGATAGAATTATTGTGTGTGTTTATTTGTGACTTTGGTGATGATCAGATCACATTTCATGACAAAAAAAACAGAAAATTTCAAACAGGGCTGTTACTGTTTTTGCAGCTATATGTAACCTTTAATATACATTTATAACAGGCAACAGGTCTGTATGTCATCACCGATGAACCTGACAATTAAGCTTAAAATTCACCATAAATATCTTTTTTTAAGCTTTTTTTGGGGCTTAAGCCCTTTATTTTTGTTTTTTGTTTGGGGTGGGGGAGGTAGGATGCAGAGAGGCAGAAAGGGAGGCATAGAGAGAGGAGGACTTGCAACACGGCGGTGGTCAGACTTGATACACCGATGTCCTGACCTTCTTATCCATCTGTCCAGGGTTTGTTGTTGAATTTGATGCTCAGCAAGGAAGAAACCATTTAAAAAAGGCAGATTACGGTTTGCAGCTATACATAGGGACAAAGGTCTTACTTTCTGAAGAAATGTCCTCTGGTCTGATGAAACAAAAAATAAACTGTTTGGTCATAATGACCATCGTTATGTCTGGAGGAAAAAGGGGGAGGCTCGCAACCCGAAGAACACCATCTAAACCGTGAAGCACGGGGGTGGCAGCATCATGTTGTGGGGGGGCTTTGCTGCAGGAGGAACTGGGGCACTTTGCAAAATAGATGCCATCATGAGGAAGGAAGATTATGTAGATATACTGAAGCAACATCTCAACACATCAGCCAGGAAGTTGAAGCTCATTCACCAATGTCTTCAAAATAGACTGTGACCCCAAGCAGACTTCCAAAGTTGTGGCAAAATAGCTTAAGAACAACAAAGTCAGGGTATGGGAGTGGCCATCACAAAACCCCTGACTTCAATCAATGGAACATTTGTCGGCAGAACCGGAAAAAGCATTTGAGAGAAAGGCCTTCAAACCTGACTTGGTTCCACAAATTCTATCAGGAAGAATGGGTGAACAAGCAACTTGTAAGAAGCTTGTGGAAGCCATCCTGAAATGTTTAACTTGGATGTTTAACATTGTTTAACAATTTAAAGGCAACGCTACCAAATACTAACCGTGTATGTAAACTTCTGACCCACCGGGGATGTGATGAAAGAAATTAAAGCTGAAATAAATCTCTTTCTCCTCTATTATTCTGCCATTTCACATTCTTAAAATAAAGTAGTGATCCTAACTGACCTAAGACAGGGAATGTTGCATGTAAAAATACATTTCATGTTTCATCTTCATATTTGAGACTGGCAAAGATGATGAACAGAATGCAACTGTGACTTGTCAGCACTGTCAAATATGTGTCATGTTTTATAAGTGTGAAGTTGTTTTGTTTTTTTTGTTTTGTTTTTTTTACACTATTTTACTAGATGTTGTTAGTTTAGAAATATGACATCAGACGTGTGTTAGACTAGGTGTCATTACAGCCAGTTTAACAGGGAGGAAAAGTTGGGAAAATGATCAGTGCCTTGCTCATGAATTTTAAGATGTCTTCCCCCTTTTTTTTTAAGTGTTTCCAAGAAATGTGTCAAATGCAAAGAGGCAAGTGCAGCTGTGGTGATCAGAGCAGGAGATGCATACTGCAGGTGAGACATGCACCCTCAGCACTGGTGTAGAATATTCATACACAACACGAGATTACAGACTTCTTTGAAGTGAATGGACATGTAGCAGAAGTTCTTAAGATCCCAGATGAGCCAAACAAACCCTCTTGCAGGACTGAGTACACTGTTGACAGAACTGTCTCAAGACTGAAAGAGTGGAAGCAAAGTTTGTCCTGTTAGACTGCACAGAGTTCCATCTCTGTACCTCCCAAACAGAGAGTTCAAGTTGTAGGAGACATCAGGATAGGCAAGATAGTAGTGACACTAACCACCATTGTTGTCTCAGCCACATGACTGAAAATTATGAATAGGTAATTGTAGTAATACCTCAAAAAGAAAGGAAACCGTCTTCAAAAAAAAAAAAAAAAAAACAGCTATGCAGCACAGACTTGATTCCAAACTTGAACTGACATTTTGGCAACCATGCACCTTCCTCGCATTTTAAAATGCAACATTAGCCCACTGGAAGTGTAACTAGATACAATTATTTTACACTTCTGCTCAAATATTTTTTTCTGTCTGTCAGGGGCTGTTTCAAGGAATACTTCATTCACAAGTTCAGAGCTATGCTGGGCAAAAACAGGATCATTTTCCCTGGAGAGAAGGTAAGCTGTATTCTATTTCAGTGTTTCCCGAA